TGGGGCTCTCTCTCAGGACCCCGAGATCATGACCTGAGCCGAAACCAAGAGTTTGGACGCTTAACCGACTGCGCCACCCAGGTGCCCCTAGGGCCACTCTTGATGGGGGGCTGGCTATGCCCGGACACAGAGTACTGCTCGCGGCCACCTCGAGTAGTACAAGTTAGGATGTGCTTTTCTATAAATGGAGACACTGAGCTGTTGGGTGAAATAGCCAACCAAAGTCACATAGTTTGGGGTATGGCACTGGGCTTCAGATCAGGCCTTTTGGCCCTGACACTTGTGCTCTTGTTGCTGGGCACTGTTTAAAGGCACCCACCACTCCTCCCTGTGACTGGGAAGTACCCAGGAGCAGCCCTCAGCAAAGATGAAATCTCTTTGAAGCCCAACTCTGGCTTAGAAATTCATGGAAATGTTGGGTTCTTCAGAATGTATCCGCTTTCAGTGCCTCACTAGCTTTAACGTTTCCCTCCACACTGTTGGGTAGAATGGGCTCTGCGGGGAGATCCACCGTGTTTTCCCTGTGGCTTTGTATCTCCTCTGTGCAGTGCCACCTGATGGCCCACAGAGCCTGGGTAGAGAAGCGTGGGATGAGACTGTTGTGAACGGAACATGATGCCCTGTAGCTAGTGATGGGCTGCACCCCCAGAGTTCCCCATAGGTGGAGGTGGGGGGCAAGTGGAATTTTGACCTTTGGGCCAGAGCCTGGGATTTTTTTCTGATGCCTCCACCCCTCCCCACTAGGACATTCACCACGGCAATGGCACCCAGCAGGCGTTTTACAACGACCCCTCTGTGCTCTACATCTCCCTGCATCGCTATGACAATGGGAACTTCTTTCCAGGCTCGGGGGCTCCTGAAGAGGTACAGGTCCTAGGCTCAAACGTGGGGCCCCTTGGGGAGGTAGCAGAACGGGACCTGGCAGGGAGCCCTGGAGGCCTGTGGTGGGGCTGGTTCCCTGGGGAGTCTGGGCTCCTAGTGGGAGGACCACATAGGCCAACTGCCCCTCCATGCAGAGCAGTGGTGAATGGAGTAAGGGCTGGAATCAGGGCTGAGGGCGGGGGCAATGTCTGGGATCCCCAGGCAGTGAGAATAACCCCTCCCCCACCGCGCTGCCAGGTTGGCGGAGGGCCGGGCGTGGGGTACAATGTGAACGTGGCATGGACGGGAGGTGTGGACCCCCCCATCGGAGACGTGGAGTACCTAACGGCCTTCAGGTGGGGACTGAGAAGGGCCAAGGGGGGGTGGGAGCCCCCCGGGCCCTGCCATGGGAGGGGCAGAAGGCACTCAGTTTGGTACAGGTGGAGGGCGTTGTCTCTGGGGGGAACAGAGTGAGGTGAGCCCTGGCCTAGCCACCCGCCCGGGTCAGCTTGGGCCCTCCTTTTGCAGGACAGTGGTGATGCCCATTGCTCATGAGTTCTCACCTGACGTGGTCCTGGTCTCTGCCGGGTTCGATGCTGTTGAGGGACACCTGTCTCCGCTGGGTGGCTACTCTGTCACCGCCAGATGTGAGCTGCTGGGGGATTGAGGAAGGCTGCGGAGCAGTGAGGATGGGGTTGAGTGGGGACACGGAGCAGGAATAGACTGGTATTGCAGAGGCTGGGAGGACGGAAGCTGGGGGGGCAGGTCCAAAACTTGGAATCATCTTGGCAGGAGCCTCCCACTCTCCCTCTGCCAACCTTGGACTTGGGGGGCAAGCAGGTGGGTGTGGGGTAGCAGAGACTCTCCTCCCAGAGTCCTAGGGATGGAGCTTGTTGATCCCTTCTGTTTCAGTGGTGCTCCTTATGACATGTAATTGGAATTTTTTTTAGCCCATCTACTCTGTTTTATCTTTAATGGAGCATCTAGTCTGTTGATACTGAATTTTATTATGGATGTGTCTTTAGGCTTAAATCCCACCATTTTATTTTGTGCTCTTTGTTCCACCTCTTGTGTTTTATTTTCTCTCCTTCCTTACCTTCTCTTGATTTTTTTTTTTCTTTATTTTTTCTTCCTCCCTTCACCCATCCCTAAAGGCTTTGGCCACTTGACCAGGCAGCTGATGACGCTGGCAGGGGGCCGGGTGGTGCTGGCCCTGGAGGGAGGCCATGACTTGACCGCCATCTGTGATGCCTCTGAGGCCTGTGTCTCAGCTCTGCTCAGCGTGGAGGTGAGGGGTGCAGGGAGGCACTGGGGGGGGGGGGGCTCAGGGAGGGGCTAGTAAGGGATGGCCCCTTTCTTGATCAAGCAGCACTGATCAAAAAGGTGGGAAGGTTTTCCTGGGTCCTAAAGACAGCTGCTGGACAGGGAGGGCTTTCTGACTCAGGGTTCCTCCAGAAAGCTAGGTTCGCCCCCGTCATGGGAGGTGTCGGGCTGAACGTGGGGTGGTTAGAGGGCAGGCACCACCACCCACTCCCTACCGTAAGCCTTCTCTTCTTTCCCCTGCCAGCTGCAGCCCTTGGACGAGGCAGTCTTGCAACAAAAGCCCAACATCAACGCAGTGGCCACGCTAGAGAAAGTCATCGAGATCCAGAGTGCGTGGGCACAGGCAGAGAGGCTCAGACCTCCGCTTGCCAAGGGGCAGAGGGTTATGGGCCCACCAGGGCTGGGGATGTAGTGTAGTATGGGGCTTTCTGTCCTCCCTGACCCCTGCCTGCCCCTCATCCACAGGCAAACACTGGAGCTGCGTCCAGAGGTTCGCCGCTGGTCTAGGCCGTTCCCTGCGGGAGGCCCAGGCAGGTGAGACGGAGGAGGCAGAGACTGTGAGCGCCATGGCCTTGCTGTCGGTGGGGGCTGAGCAGGCCCAGGCTGCTGCAGCCCGGGAGCACAGCCCCAGGTAAGCTGCCTTCCTGACCTCTGCCCATGCCCAGGCCGGTGCCCTCGCCTCAATGCACGCCCCCCCCCCCCCCGTGCTTGTCCCCACAGGCCGGCAGAGGAACCCATGGAACAGGAGCCTGCCCTGTGACGCCCTGGCCCCCATCCCTCTGGGCTTCATCATTGTGATTTTGTTTATTTTTTCTATTAAAAACAAAAAGTCACACATTCAACAACGTGTGCTGTGTGGGTCTCTCAGCCTTGCCCTCCTTGCTCCACTAAGCTGCCTCAGGCCTTGCCCCCAACTTCCCTCAGTGTGGCCCACGTCTCCAATCTAGAAGTTTGCTCCCCCTGTAAGGTGTGGGGGGTGCCCTTTCCAGCTCCTCCTCCATGTTGTGTCCCATGCCCACTTCCTTGCATTCTGTCCTTTTCCCCCTGGGAGCCTGGGCCAGCTTAAGGTGGGCATGGGGGCCCAGATAGTACCGTCTGGTTTTGGAGTCTCCCTGAGCGAGGAAGAACAGTAAGTTTGGTGCCTTGGCTTCAACTGACTTGGGGGGAAATGCCTTAATTTCAGCCTCCTCCCCTCTCCAGCCTCAGGGGAAGATCCAGAAGGTTGCTCTACAGTGTAAGATACAGAGTGGAGGGGAGGTGGGTTTCCACCCTGCGATTCCCCACCCTTTTCACTCTTCGTCATCCTGGCCATCTCTGCACAGACCCCTTTTCCTCCTTTCTCCTGGCCTCAGCACTGAGGGGAAGGCTTGTGCCCTAGGAGGTGGGCCTGTGGTCTGTGGGCTGGGCAGTCTTCTTTCACACTCCTCTGGGCCTAATTCCCCTTCCCAGGGGCTGGAGAGGGTCAAAGTGTGTGGGGAGGGATGGGACTGGACTCCAGGGTTCTGAGGGACCAGGAAGAGCGGCAGAACCAGGCCTGCTCACTGCCTTACTCTGTTGGCTTCCCTGGCCCTATGCTGGCACAGCCTGGGGTGGGGGAGGTGGTCCCTGCAGGGGGACTCCAGGCTGGTGAGAACCCCCCTGCTGTTCAGGACCACATTTTCCCCAGCCATCCAGCGTGCCATGAGAAGGATCAGTGGCCCACCTTCCCCCTGGGGCCTTATACTGTGAAGCCTGGGGATGGTGAGAGTAGGGGTTCTAGAAGGGGCAGGACTAGAACCCAGGAACCCAGGATTCTGCCCTCAGCTGTAGCTTCCCTTCCTCATGGGCTTCCTTTGCTGGTCACTAGCCCAAGAGAGCTAAGACCAGGAGGGGCTGGACACCACCCTGTCTCTTTCCCAGGAGCCCAGCCTAGCCCTCTGTTTCTGGGGTTGGGGGCTCATAGGCTTCTAGGGAATACTGTCTAGCCTGTAGGAAACCAAAGATGGGAAGCGGCTCCCAGGGGGCTGAGTCTTCCTCCCTTCTCCTCCCAACACCACATATACTTTCTTTCTACCCCATCCTGAGGGCCTCACCAATCTGTTTACATATTTATTATCCTAATGGGGGCCTGAATAGGGTTGAGAGAGCCAGGAGAGGGGCAGGAGTCCCACCACCATTGGTTCATTGTGTGCTGTGTCTTGTGTATTGTTAGTATGTTCTAGATCCTCCTGGGGGATGCGGATGGGGCTAGGCCCAGTGTAGCAAGCCTCCCCTTGCTGAGCCCCAGCTCCGGGCCCTTAACCCTCCCTCGTCCAATGGCTGGTCGGGTTCTCATGTAAACCCACTCCTTGCTTTGTCTCCCTGGATATGGATTTCAGTTAAGTATTTTGTAATCTGTTACACTGTGTGTCCTTATGTAAATAAACTTGTTTCTGGCAGTGCCTTCTGGGGCTGATGTCTCTCTTCTCTGCGCTTCCAAATGGAGTAGAGGTTCTCATTCGCCATCCTGGCCCAAAAAACTGCTCTTCATTTCTCTAGTCCCTGCACTAGCCAATTTAGGAAACAAGGGGCTGGGCTGGGGTGGGAGGGAGTGGAGTGGAGTCTCTGTCCCTCGTAGGTTAGAGACAAGGTTTCACCGAACACAGCCATAGCATCTCATGGGACCTCTCTTGTGGCCTGGGTGGTGATGCTGGGGAGAGGGCCCAGGCGCAAGGTCTCTGTGGAGCTTGGGTGAGGGGGTGGGGGGAGCGCAGAACAGGTGGCCTGGCAAGGGTCTCACTTGCACACACACAGGCAAGCTCAGTGGCAATGTGCGCATAGGCAAGAAAAGAATCCAGAAGTGTTCAAGGGCTTTATTGGGGCCGCTCTGAGCCCCTCACAGTGTTACAGGAGCCCACTAGTCTTGATGTTGCCTTAGCTCCCTGGGGACTCGGCGGGGGAGGGGGGCAGGACGACCAGCCTTTCTGGGAAGAGAGAAGGCCCTTCTCTGGGGCTAAGACCAGATGGTGGAGCAGTGGGAGACTGAGGATGAGCAGGGCCTGTTGGGAGCTGGACGGGATGGGGCTGCCTTCCGGAGTGTGGAGGTCATGGAGTGTTGGCTTTGATGGGGGAAGGGGGGCGCAAGCGGCAACAGGAGGCACTTGAAGTCAGGAAGAGCGGACGGGTGGTGTTTCCTGGGCACTGAACGTGTACACCACCCAGGGCACAAGGGCCAGGACGAGGCATGGCCACAGGGTATACTTGAGGAAATTGAAGATGTAGAAAAGGCTGATCTGAGGGGGATGGCCCAGCCAGTCCAGGGGGCCCAGCAGCCCCATGGCCAGCACAAGGCAGGCTATCTTCTGGCCGTGTCCCAGGTATGCCCGCCGTACCTGGGCATAGCAGGGAGAGTGCACGGCGATGCCCAGACCCAGGGCGGCCCCTGAGTCGCGGCTCAGGGAGGCAAAGGGCCGGCTATCCACGTGTACCCACTCAGGCCGCTCACACCACTTGGAGGCCAGGTTGATGGACCTATGGGGAGGAGGGGTCTTTGCCAGGAAAGACATTCCCCTCGAAGCAAGAGGGCCAATGGCTCTTAGCTCCTTTGGGGTCTACCCCCATGTTCTGCTGTGACCCCAGGAGAGTCTGTGTTTGTGAGCAGGTAACGTGTCCCTTTTTAGCTACAGCAAAACCAGGGACCCATCAAGCTAGGTACAGGCGAAGCAGAACAGGCCTCAGCCTGCCCAAGCTTCAAAGCAGGACTTACCAAGAAAGATCCAGGCCCAGTGTAAAGAGGGTCCAATAGATGAGGCTGGCACCCAGCAAGAGGGCCAGTGAGGTCAATCCGTAGAAGCTTAGCTCCCGCTCCATGGGCACCCGGGGGGTCATCAGCCAGCCCAGGACAGCACCTAGGGAAGTGGGGTAACAGCAGCTTCAAGGAGTTTGGGGATATGAGCCCCGGAGCTGTAGGGCAGCTTGGCAGAACAGACTGAGCTATTAGGGGGCCTTGGGGTCTGCTGTTCGATGGGAAGATCCTACAGTGGTCCTCCCACTGCCAGTGGCAACCCCTAGGCCCACCCTGTGGCCCCAGTTGCTCACCGGTTATTAGGCCAGCCAACACCTGGTGAGGGAAATGTGCTAAGAGGAAGATCCGGGACAGGCCGACCGCCAATAGGAAGGTACAGTAAGCCAGGCTAGGTATCACCCTCACCCAGTGGCTACAAAGAAAAGCAAATGGTTCAGGGGGTGTCCATACACAGCTCAGCACCCAAGCACTTCATGGTTTGACCAAATGCCCCAGAGCCCCCCAGAATTCCGGCTCCAGGCTACCCTGCTGCTGGGTCTTTTGGATCCAGGGTACCATCCCCCCTGCCCTCATTGGTAGGCAATGCCGAGGCGTACCTGTGGGTCCGAGTGGCCAGCTGGGAAGAGATGGCCGTCATGATGGGCCAGAGGGCTGCTCCTGTGATCATGCAGTGTCCAGAAGGGCTGCCTGCCGGGGGGTCCAGAAGCTTGAGGTGAGAGGATGAGAGTGGAACTCAGGAGCCCCTGGCCCCACCCCCGAGGCCCCACACTGGTGCATGGTTCTCTCTGCCCTGCAGCCTACTTCAGCCCTGCCCGAGGCCACTGCTCTCAGGCTCCTGCTTTGCCCTGTGTCTCTTGGATCTACTCTAAACAACGTGGGCAGCTGGCACTCTGGCCTGGGCGCTCTACTCCCAGAATTCAACTCCGTCTTCCCCGGGCTCTCTTTGTTCTCTGAGTCAGTAACGGAGAGGCTGGGCCTCTGGTTAGGCCACCCCAGCTGAAAAGTACTCTGAAACACTCACCAAACCCTAACCACACCAGGACAGGGAGGTTTGGGGCTTCCCACCTGGACCAGTTTCACAAGAAGAGGGGAACTGGTGAACCTGGGCTGGGGCCTGGCTGTAGTACCCAGACTCATGGACCCACCAAAAGGGCCTGTCTCCAAACAGAAACCTAGAAGAGAACAGATGCAAGATGACATTACACAAACATGCAGCCAGGGGAACAGGAGGGGAGCAGAAGGACGCCTCCGGAGGGCCTGCACGGTGGAGTCAGAAAGGGAGTCCAATTCTGTGCATTACCTTGATGCAATGATTTTTTTTTTACCTTGCAACAGAATGCACGCTATTTTTTAAGAAGTGATAAGGAGACAAGAGACCGTGTGTGTGTGTATGTGTGTGTGTGCAAGTGCACACTCTGAAATGCTCATTAGTCCCGCTCTTACGCCTCCCACTGCAGGGCTAGCCCTACTCTTCTCATTCCTAGAGAGCCCAGGACCTGACTCTTCCTTTTTCTCCCGGACCCCCACTCATGCTCCTGCTTCTCCCTCTCTCCATTCCCCAAATTCCAGCCACAATTACCTACACGTGAACTCCTTAGGCGAATCTCTGGTGTTTGAAACCGGGAGTGGGAAATGGACAGAGGAAACTGAGAAAGAACAAGAAGGACCAAAAGTTCAAAGTCCCCTGGGCTAGCAGGTGCTTCGCTGGACCCTGGGAAACTGCACACCAAAGAGGCTAGGCTGCTGGGGCCAGAAAGAGAAAAGGTGGGAGAACAGAAAAGCTGCTGCTGGGGAGGGACACAAAAGGGAGCCGCCTCTCCTCACCACCAGGTTCACACACCAGGTGCTCCAGACGCTTAGGAAATGAATAGGGACTTTGTCACGTGGGGGAGGGGCATTGAGAGGGTCTACCCAAGGGGGTGGCTGTCTTGGAGGAAGCAGTAGAGGGGGAGGCTCACACAGCTCACACAGACTCTGAGCAGAGAGAGAGCATAAAGCAAAGGGCAATTAGGCAAAAAGGAAATGATGAGACCGTTGCTTTTCCGTTTTCAGGAGGGATGAAACCCTTGCAGAGAAGAGAGGAGAGGAAGGTAACTCCTATTTTGTTTTTCCGCAAGTCATTCTAGCCCATTCAAGTGTCTGCTCGGAACTCCCTTCCCTCCCCCAGGCAGGGTATCAGGCAATGGAGGCTGAGGGGAGGGGAGGAGCAGCTCATGCCCAGCGGGAGGCATAGCTCCCCTCTTCACCCAAGAGAGAACAGGTGGCACCAAGAGATAAGCCCTTAGGGCCCCACCCACTTGCCTGGGATTCCCGGCTTCTAAGTCTGTGTCAAGAGCCTACCAGCGAATGGAGGAGAAAAGGAAGAAGAAAGTGTTCCCTGGAAGGCAGTGCTTTTCAAGCCTTACTAGGCACTCCAATCACCTGAGGTCTTTGTTGAAATGCAGATTCTGATTCAGGAGCTCGGGCCTGGGGCCTGAGATCTTGCATTTCTAGCAAGTTTTCAAGGGCTTCCTACGCTGCTGGTCACGGTCCGGGAAATGCACCTTAATTTTCGAGCCTTCTCTGTCCTTATTAGCAGCTAGTGTGAAGCCTGGCACAGAGCATGCTTCTTAACAACTATGTCAAATAAATGAATGAGTAGATGAATGAAAGAGTGAGCTGAGAAGCAGGACTTTTTGCTACTTAAGCCGCCCTAGATGCTTCTTAAAATACAGATTCCCAACCCCTCCCCTGAAATTTCTAAGTCAGTATGTCTGAGGTGGGATGGGGTACCTGCATTTTAAAGGTGCCCCTTAGGTGAATGATCAGGCCTGTCTGAGAAATACTGGTCTAATGAGTAAGATGGGGACTCTGAGGCCTGACACCAAGATGCACAATGATGCTCAAAGGAAAAAAGTCAGGGGCCATGGGGTAGGGGTGAGGAGGTCTTAAGGCTATGCGTTCAGTGGGGCGGGGTGGTGGGGGAGGTCCGAGCCCTTAAGGCACCTGCTGAGAGAGATCAGGGCTTGCCCAGGACTCAGGGCCCTTGGGGGTGGGGGACCAGGACGCCGAGGGCTTCGCTGTCTCACCACTTGAAGACGAGGTTGAGCCACTCGGTGATGAGGCTGATCCAGAGCACTGCGATGCCCACGCGGCGGGAGGCGTAGTAGGCCGCGGGGAAGTAGAACAGAAAGAGGCTCTTGGGATCGCCCAGAAAGGTGACCCAGAGCCACACACTCTCCAACCAAGGCAGTTGGTTTTGCAGCGCCTCGGCCATCGCGATGCCCGCGCCCAGCGTGGACTCCATGGCGACCCAGGGGCCGGCCGGGCGGGGATATGCTCTAAGGCGGAAGCCGAGGAGTCGCGGAGACAAGGAAGCGGCTCCCCACTGAGGTCCAAAGCCCACCTTTCTGAGCTCCAGGCCCCGCCCCCTGCCAGCGGCCAGCGCCGGCCCCGCCCCCGGCCCCGCCCCTCGGCTGTCCCAGACTCGCGCGAGCCCGGCCTCTAGCCGGTACCGTTTCCTCCAGCTCTCTTCCCGGGCCTTCCTTTCTACTGGGCAGCGCAGGGGACAAATCTTTGCGAAGGCGTTTCCGCAGAGCCCCACGTGGCCGCTGTTGCGGCACGTGGGCATTGGGCGCAGAGGCGGCTCCCGCTGCTGTTCCGGGTCAAAGGAAGGACTAACTTGCGGGTCGGCGACGGGACCGGGGTTCTTGCTTTGCTGCTGCGAAGATGGATGTGTAATCTCCAACGTCAGGATTCTTCGAGACCGGACCTCTTTTCTCCTGTACCGCTACCCTCCAAAGATATTCTGAGATTTCTTGGAGAAAGGTTTACGTGCAGTCCCTCATCGGAGGAGCCAGGCATCACCGGTCGGCGCTGAAGCGGGACCCTAAATTTGCATACACCGCTGATCAAACCTTGCCTTTCTCCCCCAGCTCAAGAAACTCCCGCCCGAATTCATCCGTTATTGATTTGGAAGCTGACAGATAAGCCTCTTAATTTTGAAGAGTCTTCCCTGAACACTTGCGAATTCTTACACGTAGCAGTCTAAGTCACACTTCCTCCCACTTCTAAGCTTGCTTTATCTCCCTCCTTCCATTTTCTTGCCTTCCCAAACCTCGCTGGGCAGGTAAACCGTGAGGTAGTAGCTGGGTTGGTATGGGAAGAGGAGGGGCACACACCCACGACAAAATTTGGAATAATCCTCTCGAGGAACACACACAAAATAGAAACCTCAGCTGTTCTAGGCGAGGTCCTGCCTAGAGGCAGAGTTGGGGTGGGAGGATGCTGTTGAGTGGCTCCCCCGTTCCTTCCTACCTCAAGCAACTTTGTTCTTGGAGAGTTTTCTGATGGGTGGATGAAAATGAGAATGTAAATATGGTTCTTCTTGGAAAGAGATTAATTTCACTAATTAAAAAGGTGTGGGGAACGGAAGCTGGATATAAATGTCATTTCACTCCCTTGCTAAATGTTTTCCAATTGCCCCAAGGAGAAAGCCTACATTTTCTAGGTCTTTCAAAGTTTGCTCAGGCTCTAGCAAGACAACCTTTACCAGCCTACCCCCACAACTCCATTTCATAATATTTCTGAACTACTTTATGTTCCTTGAAATCACCAAGCTCTCTCCCTTTTTAGAGATTTTGCTTGTCCTTTAGGTCTCAGATTTTTTCACTTCCTCCAAGAAGCTTTTCCTAACAGTACCTGGCAGTCATATATATGAAAACCTATAATCACAATGCCATATAAAAAGTGGAGCGGCAGTTACATATGACTTGTTATGAGGGTCAGACTTGAAAGTTATCCGAAAAAACACAACTAAGAGGGAGCAGTGTATTTATTCCTATTACAATGACTGTACATATATACGCCTAACATTAGGAAGTTGATGTCTCTTGCAGGGCGAGGAAACACTTTTGAACTGTGTTCAGGTTAAGTAGCAGCAGCACTAGCCCTTTGCCTCCCTCTGGACTAGAGAAAGGTCAGCCTATTGTTACTATGTGAGGCTCCAGAATTTCTATGGGGGGAGGGGCAGGTAGGTGGATTAGGGATGGAAATTGGTGATGATAGGGCTTGAAAATGCATCTTGCATGTTAAAACTTTAGTATATCTGATGGACACTAATGGGGGAGGGCCAAAACTGCCCCAAGGCCACCTTTGTCACTACCTCTGCTTCTCATTCCTGCCCTTTGCCTGGCTTTCTAGAGAGAGCAGGATGGGAGATGGGGAGGCATCTCGAGTTCCAAGGGTGATGGGTGATCATGGAGGAACTACCATTTATTAAAGACCTACTACATGCCATTCATCTGTACACATCATCTCACTTAACCACCTAACTCCTCTGGAAGGCATTATTTAATACAGCAGAGCAGTAAATAGCACCGTCTTTGGAAACAGGTAGAACGAATTCTTTCTGGTTGTGCGACCCCAGCCAAGTTTAGTCTAAGACTTTAGTTTCTTCATCTGTAAAATGAAGGTGTTGATTCCTACACCAAAGGATTGTTGGGAGTTCAGTAAGTAATAATACAGAAGAAATAAAGATGCAGGATCAGGTTTAGTAATTTGCTCAAGGTCATACAACTTAGTAAGTGACAGACCTGGGATTCCGATCCCAGTTTGGCTAATCCTATAGGCAGTGTTCTTTCCACTACCACTTTGTAACTGGGTATAATAATTTTGGGCAAGTTTCTGTAAGTCCTCTGGTCCTCAGATTCCTCATATATAAAATACAGAGTTCATTCATTAAACTCTTGTGTCAAGGTGTGCTCATATGGAGACTGCAGCTCCCTCCTCCTTCCCCTTTTCATTCCACGTAGGTCATTTATCTTTAACTTCTGAAAAGGAGTCTGCAAGCACCTTACCATGCGGGCCCAGTTGCACAAACATACTTACTCAGATACCCTTTTATTTCCTCTTCTTTCCTTTTCCACCTAGGCTCCCGCCCCACCCAGGGCCAGGCCACGCCCTGGCGTGTGACGTCAGCACGCCTCGTGCGTCGCGTCGCGGCGCTCACTGGGGGCCCGGCTTTCGCCCGCTGCTGCCGCCGCCGCCGCCGGCCGCGGCTGCTCTCCCAAGATGGCGGCTCCTCCGGGCGAGTACTTCAGCGTTGGGAGCCAGGTGTCGTGCCGGACGTGCCAGGAGCAGCGGCTGCAGGGCGAGGTGGTAGCCTTCGACTACCAGTCCAAAATGCTGGCTTTAAGTATCCTTCGCTGCGCGGAGCCCGAGGCCGGGCCGGCGTGTATGTGCGGTGGTGGTGGGGGGGGGGGGGGGACGACGGCGGCGGCTGGGGCCCTCTCCGGGCCTAGGGGCGACCGGCTACCGCGGCGCCCGGAGCGCATGCGCACGGGCCTGAGCTCCCCTCCCCCTCTTCGCGTGTCCCTTGGTCCGCTTTGGGGACCCTGTCTCCCACCCCTTGTGGGAGCTGGGCCCCGAGCGAGGGTCATTGGGTGTAGGGGGGCTTGACACGCGGATGCCTTTTCGGGGAAACGCTAGGAGAGGGTACCCAGTGATCCGGAGAGAGGGTGGTCGTGGGAGGGGGCTGGTGGAATGGAGCCCGGATGGAAGGGGGGCGAGTAGAATCATGTGGGGAGGGGGTGTGCAGAGTAAGGAACTGCTAGTAGCGCAAGGGTATGGAGTTTAAGAGGGGGTGTTTTCTGGTGGGATTCGGTCCAAGGAAGGGCGGTGGGGTGGTGACCAAATGGGCCTTGCTTGCTTTGGGGGAGAGTAACTGCAGGACAGTTTGTATCTGAAATGGGGATAGGGGCTTGTTTTGCTGGTGAGTGTGTTTGCGTGGTGCTACTGGGGGCGGGGAGTATTGAATTAGCTTTCTCAGTCATTTGAAAATTGCTGTTTTGAGAATGTTTGCATTGGAAACCTGGTCCAGATAGAAGACTACGTTTTTTTCAGGGGCTCGTGTAGGGTTGTGTGGGTTACAGGTGAAAGAGTAAGTTATCTTCTCCTCAGCCCAGCACATGGAGTCCTGACTTTTCCATAGTAGTTGCCTCCCCTTTTGGAAGTGTCGGTATTAAACAGAATGGAAAAGAAGACCTGCTTCTTTGGGGTGGAAATGATTTCTGAATTACTCCAGGAAACTCAGTCTTGGAAACAAAATACTTTATGATTGCAATAAATATGCCACCCCTTCCCCTTTCTGAGCCACAGGTGGGTTTATTTTTTTATTTTTTTGAGTAATCCTTTATGGCATCTTTCAAAAGGAAGTTTCCTACTGAGTGCTGCATTTGAGTGGCAAGTACACCACTAGTTGTAGATTTCTAGCTTAGGAAGATGTCCTCTGAAACTACAGCAAGAACCATTGCCTTTTTTTTGTAAAATATAAAAACTCAGATCTGGACCAAATAGACCTTTTACATTAGTGGTTTAATTGGAAGGGTTTTGGCATGAGGAATTACTTTACTTTTAATTGGCATATATTATGCTCTTGATAAATAGTTGGAGGACGGGTGAGTGAAAGAAAGAAAGAATGAATGAATGAATATATAAATATATAAATATATAAATAAATGGGTTATCTAGCTGGGTTCACCTGAAGTGAGCCTCCTTTCCAGTGCTATAGTTTCCTCCTCTGCAGAATGGGAAATCTGAAATCTAAAAAAGTGAAAAGAGCAGTATATAGATGAAAGGAGTATTATACCAAGAACAGAAAGTACTTCCTCTCCTCTGTGGTTCCTTAGGTCCAAGACAAACTATATATACGGCATTAACACTGCATTATGCCTCCCCATACAACCAGTAGAGAGGTGACAGAAACCCTTTCTGAGGCTTCCAATTTTGGATGGTATTTGGCTTTGAAAAGCTTGAGATCTTTTGGTTCTGGGGTTTTGAGCGGGCGGAAGATGATAGGCAGAGATTTCCTGAGGAGAGCTGTGATTCTTGTGAGGCTCCCCCCTCTTGCTCGTGGCACACCTGTTACACCAGCCTTGTGTGAATTGTGTTTTCCATGCCCCTTTTGGGATGTGTCAGTGCTCTGTTTGCCCCTATTTTCCTTAACTTTATTTTTTCACCAGAATGTCCCTCTTCCAGTGGAAAGCCCAACCATGCAGACATCTTGCTCATAAACTTACAGTATGTTTCAGAAGTGGAAATAATTAATGACCGAACAGAAACCCCTCCTCCCCTAGCTTCACTCAATGTTAGTAAGGTAAGGACTTGAGGGCAGTTCTGGCTCTCCAAAATGGGGGGGAAAATTGAGACTCATTGACGCTTGGTGATACATACATTGTCCATTGTTTTTCATTTTTTCATTGACTTAAAATTGTTTGTTCTGACACCTTTTTGAAAAACCTATCAGTTTAGGTTTTCTCTTTATTCCTGGATATCTGCAGAAGACTTAAGAAACCTTTTAATGCCCAAATAGAGAAATAAAGTTGTGAGCTTGCTTTTGTCCTTTGTGAAAGAGGACTTTTTTTTTTTTTTTTTAAACCTGGAGTCCATGCGTGAACTTCCGGTATTGGTGGGGTTGGGTAGGGGTGTTGCCTGTGAATCTCCTGAAATTGTGTGTGCGCACACATGAATAGATGTGGTTTTGGTGAACATATGGAGTATTTTGCAGATCTCTGATTCATGACCTACAAAAATTTGGAAAACTACTGCCTTAGAGCTACATTTGTGTCTTTGTTTGTATTTTTGAGGTCTGACAGAATTAGAGGCTTAGGATATTTTAATCTTGGACGTACATGTTGATGATCTGGGAACCCCCAAATCACTTTGACTCTTTAGTTCTATGAGCGAAAGTTCATGTATAATGATAACAATAATAATACCATCCCATGCCCTGTAGTCTTTGCTGTCCTGTACTTTGAACACTCTTTCTTCCAGAATGTCTGGAGCCGCATCCTTCAGGACTTAGTTAATGGCATCTCTTCCAAGAAGTCTTCTCTGATCACCCAGGCTAAAGTAATTTGCTCCCATTATTCTCTCTTACAGTACTTTATCCTTTAGAGTTAAAGTGACATAGCATTTATAGTCCAACTTGGGACATTTTTGAGAGTAAAGCAGAGTGCTTTTGTTTTACACTGGGACAAGTATAGATCAGTGTGTCCTGGGCACATTGGAACTTAAGGTTACCCTATTCATAGCCTTCTTATAAGCATAATTGTGTATCATTTGTTTGCTTTTCTCTCTTAACCAAACTTGTGAGGATGGGAGCCATACTTGTTTTGTTCATGGCTGAATATACAGAGCCTTGCACAGAATAAGTGCTTAATATTTTTTGAATGAATATTAGACCTTCGATTTTAGTAGCAGCTGCCTTTCCTTAAGTCTCGTGAATTAGTGTGGTGGAGGTTTTTCCCTCTGGAGGAGTCTTGTAATAACGTATATTCTCTTGCTTCTCTCGGGAATGTGGTATGTTGGCTACAACTCAGCAAAGCAAGGAAACACTCAGGCAGCTGAAACAATAGAGGGTAACTGAGGCTGGCAGAATATAGTTACCTCCGATCTGCAGGTCCCTTCTTTTCAGATTCCAGGGAAATGCCACTTGTTTTTTAGCGATGGCTGAAGACAGATTCGGAATGGTGTTGGGTTTCATATTAAAGGCTGTTGCATATAGAATGTCCCATTCTTAGAAATCTATAGGTTTTTGAAACCCTGGCTTCGGTACCTCCTACTAGAATGTAGGAGGTCTTTGAGTGGTTGTCTTTTTTTTTTTTTTTTTGGCTGAAGAGATTTTAAAAGATTCAAGTGAAATAGTTTATTTCTGGTATGTTGAAGAGAAAATAGTTACTTTTAGTGTTTATAGGGTATGAAGGTTTGTTACTAAATAACTGGATCTTTAGTGAGTAGTAGAGGAAAGATTGTCTGAAAGAGGGATGGTTTTCTGAAATGTAAAGGACTAAGTTTCTGTTCTTGGGACCAATATGTGCCACCATTTAGTTGGGAGGAATTGGATTATTAGGGGTGAGACAGTTAAGTGGGAGCTGTTAAGAGGTAATTTACTTATGTTTGACCTCAAATATACATAGTTCTTGGTTATTGAGTTTGCAGCGTATTTTTGTCCTTTAGGGTTTTGCTTTCTGCTGGTCAGTTTTAGATTATTAGTATTGTTGTAAACTAGTTGTTTACCCACTCTTTCAAGAAAGCAGCAGGTATCAATAGGTTAGGGAAGACTGGAAATTTTTACTTTTTTTTGTGGCCTGCTTGCCAAGTCTTGAAAAAGGTTTGCTGGGAAGAGGAGTCAGAAACTTAAAAACTAAAATTAGGTTGGAGGGCTATCTCTGGACTTCATTTATTCACTCTTTCATTTGCAGACATGTTTAGGAGTAAGCTATATTGGCTTTCCCATCGTTTGAGGATGCTTGGTGATTGCTCCCTGGAATCGATTAGACTTAGAAGAGCGTGCTGCACTGTTATTGAAAACTTAATCTGGGCAGGTGTTTACATATTGCTTGAATGACCTGAAAAGTCCATCCCATTGAAGAGCATGGACTTGGGGTGTTTTTAAGATGGAGGATTGTTTAATCATGTTAGAAGGGAACTAAAATGCTCAGAGATCCCTGGAAGAAAACTTGCTGCTCACAGTCTTGGGGAGTGGAGCACACCACCTGTGTGCTCCACTTCCAGTAGGAAGATACCGTCACATGTTGGCTCATGTTGCTGATATAGTAAGTGCTTTGTTTAATTAATCCTGTTGATATAAATTGGATATTTGTTTACTCTGACCCAGCAGGAAATGGAAGAGAAGGACTTTTAAAGAAAATACTTAATTCCAGCCCAACTAGAGAAGGTACGAACTAGCAGTTCTTAGAGATGAGCCTATTTTGCTTTCCGTTTACAGTTCACTGCAGGCTAAGAAGTCCTGTGTCTGTCCACAGCTGTGGGATGTGAGAGGCAGCTTGGAAGAGGACAGTGGGGTTGCTGAAGGTGGAAGTTATGAGTATCATTTGATCTTCTCCACAGTACCATTGTACCCTGTTGAAGTGTTCTGAATTTCCTGACTCTAAGACAGAAGCATTTCAATAAAAGTACAAAAGCACATCAAAGCCAGTCATAAGTGAGGTTCAGGTTACTCACCCTGTGGCTTATTAGTTTATTCTGTCATGAGGAAGGTTTAAATATTGCTTTAGGACAAGAAGAACCCTAGGGTCCACGTGGCAGAATGAAGTATGGTGTTTCTTCTTAACAAGTTCCTTTGAACTGACTCTGCATCTGGTTCTCTGGGGATGAAGATTACCCATGGGTTGGTAGTGTTCTCAGGAGATGATTTGGGACATGTCAACATTAACAAGGTTCTCTCTTGTGTAGCATTATAAAACATTTCCTGAAATCTATTTTGTGCAAGGTGTTGTGGTAAGCTCTGCTGGGGACCACATTTTACATTTGTCTCGTGCTTTACAATTTACAAAGAGCTTTGACACCTCTCATTCCATTCTCACAATCACACCATGTGATCTTTAGAGTGTATTCTTTTCCTTTTCATTTAACAGATGAGAAGACAGGCTTACTCGTTTAAGTGACTTGTTCTAGGTTATGTGGCTGGTAGTGTGGGAACTAATGTTTTTATGTGCCACTCTGAACTAGCAACTGGTAGACGTCTCATTTAATTCTAACAGTTCTTATGGTGTGGGTACCATCAGCATCTCATAGGAGGGTAAACTGAGGCTCAGAGAGAATGAGTCATTAGCTCTAGATCATGCAACTACTAAGTAATAGAGCTGGGATTTGAACTCACGTCTGATATTTTGACTGCAAAGTCCCATGTTAATAATATTTTTATGTAGAGAAACCTCTGTATTATGTGGTCAGGAGCATTGTGGTCTAGTAGAAAAAGCAGGAATCAAGCAGGTAAGTCTTTAAAGTCACTTCTCTGCCTCTTAACCTTACTAAGCATCAGTTTCCTCACTGTAAAAGTGGGATAACGTTAGTACCTGTCTCATAGAGTTGTTATGGGGATTAGGTCAATTGACTAGAATTGGCAGATGTTAGTTCTGTTCTTCTGCATTAGCTATGTGTAGCCAACTGATGTTCCTTGAATAGGCATAGGGGCAGGATGGGGGGAAGGGGGGCATTATGACTGAGGGAAGGCAGCCAAGAATATGAATGCTATTACTATGTCAGTCTCTCCTGGCTTCGGATTGACATTCGTTCAGTGTCCAAACTTGCCAACCCCAGATTGCGGAAAATCAAAATTGTATTGAATACCATTAATATGTAATTGAGTTAAATGTTTTTAAGAGATCTCTTCTTGGTGACCAGAATTAACTTGAACATTGAGAGCAGTGTTACCAGGTGGCATAGTTAAGTGAACACTTGGCTGAGTACTGGAGTTTAGAGTGAGCGGTCACAGAACCTAGGAGGCTGTGCTTTCAAATTCTGAGATCCTTAGGAAAGAACTCAGGGACACAGCCGAGGCAAGTGTATGTATTTGTTCAGATAAATGCATCCAGTGTATTGACTGAGATGTAAGTCGTCTTCTCACTTTGCTGAGTCGGAGAAGACTTTCTTGGAGAGATATTTGTGTGTTGTGGGGGGAGGTGGGAAAAGTGACAAAGCATAGGAAATTGAAATCCACACACATATAAGGCATCCACCTCCTTTGCCAAACCACTGACTAATTTGTCAGCCTCTTTTATCCATTATTACCCATTTAGATCTTACTAACAAGCAGTGAATTATCAAATGCAACCAGGAAGAAGAGATTCAAAAGGCTTATCATTAGCCCCTGCTAATGAAGAAGGAGTTGGCTGCCTTTGGATAAAAAGGGTATATGGAGATTGGGCGGGTGGTAGGGGGTGGTTCTCGTAAGGCTGAGAAAATGGAAGAGTCACAGAGTTCAGTTTAAAAAAAAAAATTGTTCACCTTTAGATATGATGTCACATTGAGGGAAGAGCTGACTGACTTTTTGTTTTGAGTTCTCCCAATTTCAAAGCTAAGGTTTTAGCATAACCTTAGACTTTCCAGTGATTTGAGTGTTAATTCTCCAGTATGAGTAGACTCCTGGAGTAGTTAATAGCTGCTGCATTGTGGCCTTTGTTCATGGATCTATCTTGTTAGATGGGCTCTTGACCATATCGTGACCCTAATGTGTTGAGGTGTGGAGTTATCACCAAGTAGAATCAGATGGCCTGGCCACACTGTTTAGGTTATGTGTATATTGGTAGGAGTTCATATTATGTGTAAATGTGGGAAGGGAAACCACTACTTTTCTAGAGAAAGCAAGACTTTTTTGTCAGATAAAATTTTTCTAGCTTCTAGAAGCTGTATATAACCTATTGGTTCACTTGATTAGAGTATATTGTAAAGGCTCCAGTACCGGGTTAGAGTCCACCAGTGTTTTGCACCTGGCTGTGAGCAGACACAGCTGTTTCCTTATGACAGTGCCATGAAGGTATAGGTTGGGGTTGAAAAGGAAGAGCCCATTATTGGGACGCCTGGGTGGCTCAGTCGGTTAAGCGTCTGCCTTCGGCTCAGGTCATGATCCCAGGGTCCTGGGATCGAGTCCCGCATCGGGC